ACACACACACACACACACACACACACACACACATGCACACACACACATGCACACACTGCAGGAAAGCCAACAATGAAAGAGAACGACTTTGGATTTGGCTTTTGGATCATGGAGGCCCTCTTTATGAAGAGATGGCCAGCAGACTTTCCATCACACAGTGCTGATAATGGGAGGAGGGCCTCCAGCATGCAGGACAGTGTGACAGAGAGACCTACTTTGCCGCCTCTTGGACACTTGCCCTAATCACATTTGAACTAGCCTGTTGCCCCATCACTTCCCTAAACTCACCAGTAGCCTTTTTTGATTTGGTAATTGACCTCCACCTCTATGCCTGGCTCTGGATTCTAACAAGCAATGGAAGAGACTTGTATAGGCTTCCTCTGGCAAAGCCTTATTCTGAAAACTTTGACTATGTTAACACATTTAGTCTATATAAACCACTGAAATGATTATAACCATCTTTATTATAGACAAGGAAGCTGATACAATGAAGTTAACAGTTTGCTTAAGGCACATGGTTAAGATCCAGATCTAAGATTTGAGCCTAGGCACTCAGGCTCCCTTCAACCTTTAGGCTATTCTGTTCTTAGGGAATCTTATAGCACTTCCCTCTTCTCTTCAGCATCTGGCTACCCTCTGGAGAGTGAGTGTGCCCTACCGCCAAGCTCTTCCTCATTAAGGAAGGGAAAGCAGATCACCGAGTTCCAGAAGTAGGATACAGATTTTAGCACTCATCCCCTTACACATAGCCCACTTATCATGATGAGTGCTCTGTCCTGGAGGTCGGTTTCCAGCACTTCCACAACAGGCCCCAGTGTGGGAGTGGCTCCCTGTGCCCTGCCCCCAGCATCTGTGCTGGAGGGGAGGTAGCTGTCTGTCCTCTGGGGCCAGCCCATTTCCTCTGGCTCACCACCTAGAAGATAACGTTTCAGGACAATGGCTTTGGAGGAGGGGCCAGCACTGCCAATACCTGAACTCTGGCAATGCTTCTATAATTACTGTGAGTTCCAGACTTTACACAAAGATGTGTAGAGATTCCAGTATGTTTTACTTAGGAAAAGTGACTTGAGGGTATAAACTTGGGTGGGACCTATGTTCTTTTATAAGATGACTAAGGTGTTATGAGGCAGGAAATGGTGACAACTAGTGTGTGGAAAGGTTGAAGGGCTCACTGTGTCGTGAAGGTGTCATGGGATATCCCATGGGGATCTCAATATCAAGCCCACCAGATATTCAGGGAATGAGAGTGGAAAGGCATGGCATCCCCAGCTTAGGTGGGCAGATTAGTACAGCATCAGAATTAGGAATCTCTGGTGATGGGTTTGGATTCCAGGCTTTGGGTCCCAGGGCTGACATTTTGAAGGGGTAGTATCTCTTGTCATGCCCAGGAATGTAGGTTAGACAATAGTGACGTGTACACGTGGATACCACACACGTACATTCATACATCAACAGTCTCATGCAAGGATCTACAAATTTAGCTAATTAGGTCCTTAAGAACTTACAGCAGAGAACCCAAGAAATTGTTTTTCATATATAAGGTTGATCACCTCCCTTGAGCTTAGGCATGGACACTTAAAGTCTTTCATGTCTACCCCCCAGCTTGGCCCTCCTCCACCCTCAGAGCATGAGTGGGCTCCCCTCTGCTTGTGTACAGGGATCAGGACCAGACATTCGTGCCACGTTTGTCAGTGAGTGATATTACTTACGATCATTGCTGAAGTCGTCCACTAATATGATTTCCTGGATCAGATGCATGGGGGTGCGGTTTAATACACTGTGGGAGGAAGAAAAATTATGATGTCTTCCTAGTGGAAAAATACAGGTATCAACTTCAGTTTTAAATGTCATTGTGTGAGAAATATGAATGAAATACACTGTCTTTTCTTTCAAAGGGAGTTTTACCTTTACAGTGTAAACTAAGAGACTGCAAGAGTCAACCACAATCTGAATTTTCTTTATCTCCAGTTGGCTTTTGCAAGTACAGGGCCTGTCCAGAGGCTTAGAGTTCTGGAGTCACAAGCTAACAGTTGTGTAAGGTTAAAGTATGTATTGAAATTTGCACCTTGTTTTCAATAGCTCCCTTTTGCTAGTCACTTGCACCATTTTGGATTTTTTTTTTCCAACCTGTAAAAATATGGACACAAGAGATGAAATTCTGTCAAAAAACTTTTAAAACTATGAACTTGCTTGTCTTTCTTTTCAGTGCCTTTGTTATAGAGCTAATATTTACCTTAATGTGGTTTGTTTCTGAATATGTCAATTGCAACTTTTAGCATTATAGTTTTTTTCCATCTACGACACCCCCGACCCCTTTACTTTTATGACTCTATGAGCCAGGGCCCTCACACTCTACTTTTATGACTTTGGGTACTTGCTGGAACTCCACTTCCCTCAGTTTTAAAGATTCTTACTAGAATGCACCCCTCCTTTTAAATTAGCCAATCTTTATATTGTGTGGCTAAACCTCAAATAATGAGGGACAGCTAAACTCTCTATCACATCGGGTATAAAAGGGAGAGACCATCTTAACAAGGTGTGCTTACTGGATTCAGAGCAGCTTGACATCCTTCTGTAGAAGGAAAACTTTTGGGTTATGTGGTCATTGTCTTGGGACCCCCAGATCCATTTCTAACAATTTCATGGGAGTAATGAAGACTCAGAGGCACCAAAGCCATTGTCCAGTTGCTGCTTATCTGGGAGCCAATGGGGATGCAATTCTGCCTTTTTCATCTTAGTGACTGCTATGCCACCCAGTGACCCACCCAGACAGAAATTCCTATCAGTCCTCCCTCTCCCCAAACTCCAATCCAATCAGTGAACAAGCCTGGTAGTTCTATCTGGGAGTGTCACTTAAACCATGTTTACTTCCTGCATCTCTGTCCTGGTTCACCCTCTTTTTTAGGGGGAGGGAGGCAGGGTCTTACGAACAGCCCAGACTGTTCTTGAACATTTGATCTTGCTGCCTTCACCTCCCAAGAGCTCAGATTACAGAAACGTCTGACCATGCCTCACTTTGGTTCGCCCACTCTTGTCTGGTTTGTTGCTGCAACCTCTACCTGCCCCAGCCTCTCTCAGTCCTAGGCTGTTTTCCTCGTGGCTTTTTTTTTTTAATTTTTTATTTATTATTTTTATTTTGTGTGTATGAGTGTATTGCTTGCATGTATGAAAGTACACCTGTGTTGTTGTGCAATGGCTGAGGAGGTCAGAAGGTGTCGATCACCTGGAACTGGAGTTGCTAGCTGCCATGTGGGTGCTGGGAATCGAACCCAGGTCCTTGGCAAGAGCAGTCAGTGCCCTTAACCACTGAGCCATCTCTCCAGCCCCTCATGTGAACTTTCACACATAACTGACAGTGTGAATTTTCACACAACTGTAAACAAATTAATAAAATTCCACAGTGGTTCCCCACTACCTACATTCCAAATCCTCAGCATGTGCCATGACCTCTCACCACTGAACTGAACCATTCTGCCCACAGCCGTCCACACCCAGTGCTGCCATCTGAATCCACAGATGAGAGCCTCTCATTCAAGGGCTTGAGATGGCCTCAAGGACCAGTTCAAATGTCACTTCACCTGGGTCCACAGTTTCTGCTGTGTATTGTGGCACTCTCCCCAGCTAGGGAATCTTTAAGACAGAATGCCTACGTCATTTTCCTTGGCGTGTACCTGAATTAAAAACTGTTTCTACACAGAGAACGCGAGACAGTGCAGGACCTATGTCAAGGCTAAATTTACAATATATTATGGCCTTTGTCTCATGGCTTTTTATAAACTGGAAGATGACCATATGCATGATGAGGAGGGAATCAGGCTTCTTCCCTTTCCCTGCTTTAGCCACACTGAAAAAATTCACTTTTCTTCACTACTTTCTGCTTCTTAATTTCTTCTGGAATACATAGAAACTGTGGAGGAGGTGTGGGTTTATAGATCTAAATACCCAGTAACATCCCCTGTAGATGGTGACATCCCAGGGCTGGAGCCATGCCCAATTCTCTCTGTATTGGAGAGATGTTTAGTGCACACCTACTATGTGCTGGGCACTGAGTAAGGGTCACAGGAGAAGTGAGCTCCACTTGTAGAAGCTGTAATCTAGCACTATAAAGTCCAGGCTGTGGGATCATCTGCAAATTACTTTTTTACAACAAAGTATCCCATCCATAGAATGGGTGTAATTTTAGTTGTAGCTACTTCAAAGACTATTGAAAGAATTAAAGGAGAAAGCCTATATGAGGCATTTAGTGTAACATTTGTCACCTACTGATGATAAATGATAGAAATCTTATTATGCTGTGAATCATTAATGATTTACTAATTGAACTGACTTCAATTATCCCTCCTGTGCTGGATATTTCTATTCAAGGGGCACAAACTGAGTTTCAGTATTAACTCCGTGTCTCAGAACTATCATGGTTTCTCAAAAACATTTCTGGTTCACAAAAGCCACTACAATATACCCAGAGTCCTATGAATGTCAGAGATAGGATTCAGAGTAGGTGCTGGTGGAGGTTTTGTAAGCATTCTGCTTTTAGATCTGTTTTCACTATAGCCCCTTTTGATGCAGAATGTAGACACTATTGGAAGGGAACTTGGCCTGGAGCTACCTTTATTTAAGAAGCCTTAATTCTCGCCATGGCAACTAGTATAAGGTGGAGCAAGGAACCCCAACACAAAGCTTGGGCCCCCTGTCACTGTCTGTCGGGCAGTGGGGGACAGGAAAGGAAGGTGGCAGCAGCCTCCACCAGAGGGTGGTGGGTAAAGATCGCTAACCATGATTGTCCCAAAGAAAACACAGTAAACCCAACCAGCAGCCCTCTAATCAGGGCAGGAGAGAAGGGGGAGGCAGACAGAGGAAAAAGCCTGCTTGAAGAATAACCTCTAATGAGGTTTGATTACGACTATAGCTTCTGCATTCGATTCCCCCAAATCCCTGCCGGCTCTTTGAAATTCAAGAGTTCTCGTCTGTGCACATCAAAAGGTAAATCGCGTGCAGCTCTGCGCTAGTTGAACTGAGAGATGATTAGCGAATAAAAAATGTCCAGGGTTTAAAACAGAGGAAAAAAAAAAAGAAAGAAAAAGAAATCTTCAGCAGTAAGTGCTAATTAGACCATTTCCTGGTAACACCTGGCTTGTTTTTGCTCCTCTAATCAGAGCAATTGAAGTGATGGTAGGGTCTCCCTAAAAGTGGCTAGAGGCTGGGAGGGCCTGAAATGGGCATGCACTCTGGACACCTGAGATGGCTGAAGAAGAAGGTCAAGTTCAGTGCAGGAGAACTAGCCTGGATGGTCCTCCAGGACCCTCCTTCTCTCTTCCCTCTCACAGATTGTTTTACCCAGCTCCTCACCAGCCTTTCTGCAGCAGAACAAATCCTCCCATTTCTCCAAGATCCCAGCCTCACTCCCACCCCAGCTGCCCCCAGCCCTTCTTCCGGTAGCTGCAGGATGGGGGCAATAGCTCATCTCATTGGCACATACAGACCACACTGTCCCTGGAATCATTTTGGCTCTGACACCTATGTGCAGGCACATAGGTAGAATCTATGACATCTCCTGCTCCCTGCTTGCTGTGCCCTAACAATGGGGTCCACGTAGATCCCTCCCTGAGACATGGCAGGGCAGTGTGGGGCACACAGACTCATAGGCCAAGTGAGCCCTACAATCTACTAGCTGTGCAGTCCTGAACCGTTCTGCTCCCAGCCTCGGTTCCTTCTGTAATTACCTTTCCCTTGTAAAAGCAGGCGATATTAATACTTGACCTACTTCACAGGCTTTTGTGCGTATAAAATGAGGAAATGTATTTGAAATTGCTTCTTGAACTCCATAGTGCTGTATGCAGACAGGTTTTATCAAAAGCTCCATAAATACCAGTTGAATGAAGACCCGAGGCCAACTGATAGTTGAGTTTAGTGGTTCTGGAGTGAGACAGATTTGGATTCAAGTACATAGCTGTGCAGCCTCCACTAGTCAGCAGGAGGACTCTAGTCAGTGCTGAGTCTTCAAGTACCATGATTTCCTCAGATGAGTGAGAATTGCTTAGCACCATGCCTGGCACATGGCAATTATTCTTGGAATGTGGGCATTGATGATAAGACTAGTAATAGCAACAGACATGATGCACAGCTGTGATTCTCAAAGTCTGATTCCTGAGCCAGCAGCACTGTGGCAACCTGGGAACTTGTCAGAAATGCTAATTCTTGGGCCCTACTCCAGACTCACTGAGTCAGAATCTCTGAGGCTGGTGCCCAAGAAAGCATGTTCTAGCAAGCCCTCTAGGAGATACTGGCATCTGCTCACATCAGAGAGCCATCAGATCAGAACACTATCTGTAGGGAATGAGGCTCATCATCACACCTGATGCCACTCATACAAGCTCCCTATGTGCCTGCCACTAAGCCCAGTTCTTTACCTATTGTGATGGTTAATATTGATTGTTAGATCAGAGGGATTAAGAAAGGCCCAGGAAATTAGTAAAGTATATCTCTAGGAGTATCTGTGAAGATGTCCCAGAAATGATTGGCAAGTAAGTTATTGAACTGAAAAGGGGAGGCACACTCTGAATGTGGGTGGTAGTATACAGTGGACTGAGGGGCCAAACAGTGGCCCACCAGTACAGGTAAGCTTGACTCTCCTTGAATGCGTGTACTTTTTGTCATTGGACATGGACACCAAACTTCAGATTCTTCCGTCTTTGAACATGGTTCAGTCATGGACATAGTTTAGTCTTTGAACTCTCCAGTCTTTGAGCATCAAGGTCTTCAGTCTTAGACTGGGCCTATATCACCGCCCCCTCTTATTCTATTACATTTGGTTATTTAGTGTGTGTGTGTGTGTGTGTGTGTGTGTGTGTGTGTGTGTGTGTATGTATGTGTGTATGCCTATGTGTAAGTGTATGTGTGCATGTCTGTGTCTGTCTGTGTGTGGAGGTCAGAAGACAACTTACGGGAATGAGTTCTATCTTTCTACCATGTGGGCTCAAACTCAAGTCATGAAGCTTGGTAGCAAGTGCCTTTACTCACAAAGCTGCCTCACTGGCCTATAGCCCCTCTTACTCTAAGGCTTCCATTTCTTGGACCAAGCAGCCCTTGGTTTCCCTGGTTCTCCAGCTCATAGACTATAGTGGGCAGTGGTTGGACTATAAGCTTCTGATCTTATAAATCAACCTGACAAATCTCCTTTTTGAGACAGGGTTGTAGCCCCAGCTATCCTGAAACTCACTATGTATACCAGGCTGGCCTTGAACTCACATAGATCCACCTGCCTCTGCCTCCTAAGTGCTGGGATTAAAGGCATGCACCACCACACCTGGCTCAAATCTCCTTTTATAATTAGATATATCACTGATTCTGCTTCTGTAGAGAACCCTATTAAACCTATCTGCACTTATTCAGTCTTCTCTACAGTCATGTCAGGGAATTAGAAGCAATCAGTGTTTCAGTTTGGCAGAAAAGGAAGCTGAGGCAGAGAGGTTCAGCGGCCTGTCCAAGGTCACAGAGCTACTCAGGCAGAGCTAGGCAAATCTGGTCCCAGCATCCAAATTCTTAACCACTTTCACCAGAAGAAGTGCCTGCCTAGGTCTAGGATATTACCAACGAACATCAGTGAGAAAGGTTGGGATATAAATCACAGGCCATGCATGTTCCTAAGCCCCATGTGAGGTGCAGGGTTCGTGGACACTCCAGGAGGAAAAGGACAGTCTGAGTCTCTTGTACATGTGAGGACTTGCTGTAACACCGGCCAAGATGGATTGCTCTTTAAGGTTTGCTTTCTGTCTTGGAGAAAGGACCTCATTCATCCAGGTTGTGATTCTTTTCCTCTATCACTCATCCCATCACCAGGCTTGAGCCTACCACCAGATCCCAGCTCTCAGCTGGAAAGTGAGAAAACCTTGGGACATTAATGGAGTTCTAGAAATCACCCTGTCTCTTTGTTCCCACACGTGCCTACACTGGTTTACAAGCTACTAAGGAACTTCATTAACTACAGTGAGACTCAGGGTGACACTGATAGTGACCTGGCACATTTTTGTGTAAAGAGTTGTTTCCTCATTGGGAAATCACATGCAAATTGGGCGGCTCGTAGGGTGAGTAGAGAAGCCAGGACAAGGGCTGCTGGCTGGAGGAAGTAGCCAAAGACATGTGGTCACCAGTAGAGCTTCTGTTTTACACACAGGCATGGGTCCTTTCCTGTGTTGTTGAGGGAGGTTCTGACCCTACACAGTGGGCATTCAACATTTAGTGACAGGTAGACTGAAGATGTGGTGTGTCCCCTGTGGGTGAATCTGCTGCTGAGCTTGCTTCTTGCCACCCAGAACTTCTTACTGCCATAGTACATCAGGTGTGGGAGGAAGGGGACAGTGCAGCTTGCCTGATAGAGATGACAAAAAGGAGATTTGTCGGGCTTGGTACCCTCTCTGGACCATGTTTAACCTCATTTCTTTTCTGTGCAATCAAGCGACCAACCTATGTGCTGCCTAGCAGGTGGGGGTAGCTCTAGCAGACCGTGTGTCTCAGGGACACGGAGCTGCAATGGGTACTTCACCAGTCTGACTGTGCTTGGAAGTTGTATCTTTGTACACCTGCAGTCCCAACACCTCACCAGTGGTGCTGAGCCCACCCCCATGACTTACCTTCTTAGAACAGACTGCTGAAGGGACTCTAAGACAGTGCAAGGCCAGAATGCTATTTCTGTTCTTTGCAGCCTTGGGCCTTGATTTAAGACTTCAAAGTTTCAGTTTCTGTGGTTGACCTCCCCACATCCCCAGGTGAGGGGGAGGAGCCTAAATCTGTCTAGAGATGAGTGTGATCTTACTGAAGATAGGGGAACTGCTATTGGAGATCTGAGGGAAGGAAGCTGGGACAGCTGACATGGAGAGGAGAGAGTAGGCATGTGGGAAGGAGCATGGTATGGGGGAAGGGCAGTCAAAGCAGCCAGGGATCCCTGAGAACCAGGTGCATAATTCCCAGACAAACCTTCTTGGTGCCAGCTCTGTGTTCTAGAAGCAGTTTGCCTGGGTCTGGCACTGGGACTTGAGCATATGGAAAATCTTCACAGGCCACAAGTCATACTTGGCAGGACAGACATCTTATAGCAAAAGCCTGACCCAGACTCAGTGCTAAGGTGGAAGAGAGGCCAGAAGGGAACAGGTCTGGACTTGAAGGCAGAGGCCCAGAAAGCACACATTAGTGATTACTCAGCTGATACCACACATACCACCATTTCCTTAGACATGAAAAAGTGGGGCACAGGGATGGGCAGCCCAGGGCATACCAAAATCCTGATCCCAGCTAGAGGCTAGGGACAGAGAATGTACCCAGCCTCTCTGGACTTCCTTCATCTTTTGTGACCATGACATCTCATGCTCTCCAGGCAGCCTAGCACAGAAGGACAAAGGCTCTGTGAGCTATTCCTATGCTTAATCTCTGAATATCTGCAAGTTACCAGACATCCTGGGCCTCAAATGGGATGGATGCCTTCTCTCATCAGCATCTGAAGAGTGGTGGAGTGAATACATGTGATACATAGACCAGTACCTGGCACATACCTGCAGGGCACCCAGTGAGCAGGCAGACTCACCAAGTACTGGGCTGGGCACTGTCCCCTAGACAGGAAGCCTCCTTACCTGCGAATGGTTCTGAGTAGGGTAGAACGTGCCTCGTTGTGGAAGGTGATGATGATGCTAGTGGGAGGAAGATCTGTGCAGTACACCAGCAGCGTACATCTGGCAAGCAAAGGCAGAAGACCAATAAGACCTTGTGGGCAAAACAGAACTAATGAGCTGGAACCATGAGCACCAGCCTAGTGGCCGCTATGAGGGGCTATCTGGCACCAGAGAATTACTGAAGCTAAATGTGTACCACCTAAGGGGAACTTGGGCTTAGAGCCCAAACAGAAACAAATATGGTAATCCATGCATGCTTGAGTTAGCAGTGTTTCCCAATAGCTGAAAGAACCCATCTCTGAGATTTGGGATCTACCCCAAATCTGTGCCCCTCTAGCCTTTCTACCCAAGCCTCTGGGGCCAGAGGGACAAGCTGAGCCAACAGAGGTCCCATCATGTGTTCTGGACCAAGCAGCTTCAGGGGTGGGTGGCATCTGACTCCTGGCTCTCTGCCCCTCCCCAACCTGGTATGTTTAAAGAGTCAGAGCCCTAAAACCTCAGTGCAAGCAATAAGGCCCCATCTTGAGGAAGCATTCACTTCCACGCATCCAGGACTATTTTGTATGACTATTACATCTGGGGTAATTTCAATTTAATACCTTGCCGCAAGTGAAAATTGTAGCCTGCAGCCTGAAAATTACTATAATAATGGAAATAGACCCGCCAAGTGAGGTTGGTGCCACCAGGGGCCGTCACCCAAGAATACACTTCCTCCTGTTTCTCATGAATTCAGGGGTGGCCCAATTAAGGGCAGCGTGGTAGGGCATTAAGAGAGGAAGTAAATAACAGACGTATGGAGATTCAGATATTTGCTCTCATTTTCCCGTTTCTACCTTGGCATTTAATTAGAAGTCCAGAGACTCAGGAGTGGGCTTTGAGGGGCCTGAGCCCACTGGAGTTGTCTGCAAATCATTTTGGCTCAGTGTTCACCAGATTCTCAAACAAGTCTGTGGCCTGAAATACTCAAGATCCAGTCCTAGGCCAAGAAGCGTGATGTCCCCTAGTGATGCTGCACAGGTTCTGTGGTAATAAACACTCAAACACTGCAGGCTCACTGTGTAGGTGCAGGGGAGGCCAGCCTGCTGTACTCAGGACCAGAACCAAGAGTTAGGGAAGGAGGCCATGTTAAGAGATGCTGGGAAAGGTCAGTCATGGCCTACAGACCTCCCTGTCCTCTCCCACAGACATACCAGTCGACACTACTTTTGAGTCACCTTCTCTTCCTCCCCATTACTCAACAGCCTTACTCCTTATCCCACTGTATCTCATACTTCCTTCCTAGTCTTCCCACCAGTCCTGTGCCACCCACCACAGGGCTCTGCCAGGTCCTCCTCTGACCTGAAGCTCTCTAGTGGTTCCTGGTGAATGAAGTCTAGCTTCCTGGCATACCCTTCAAGACCCTTTCATAATTGGAGGCTCACATGCCACCATAGCTCTCTGTCATTGCTCTTGCTATATGGCAATGTCTTTCCCTTGTCTACCATCTGAGGAATTCTGATTCATCCTTCAAGACTAAGAGTAAATGTCCCCTTTGCTGTGAAAGTATTCCATACTCTCTGATAGGCAAATGACCTGTCATTTGTATGCCTATAATTTGGTATGTATCTCTTTTCTAGTGCTTCTCATGATGAGACTATCACCCCTTCTAGACTGAGTTCCTCCAGGGAAGGACCACGGTTTCATCCATGACTGCATCCCCACGAGGGAATTTATGTATGTGAGATGCCCTTTTATAGAGAAGGAAGAAAGTCAAGAACTGCATTCCCAGGTCAGAAGAATAGTCAGTCCTTTATGGTTCTCAAAGGTATGGCAGCCTTTCAAATGACTCCCAGGATTCCCATCCACAAGTCTTTATGTCCTTGGAGTCCCCTTCCTCCTTAAATCCAGGCAGTTCATATGACCAGAGGGATATGGTGGACATGACACTGTGTGGCTTCATAAAAGTTCTGTAGCCTCTTCCTTGGCCACATGGAGGGAAGCCAGCTGTCATGCTGTGAGGACCTTCAGGCAGTCTTGCAAAGAGACATCCTCATGGCGAGAGGGTGAGGCCCTCTGCCCTCACCACCATGAGCAAGCCAGGCATATGAATGGGCCACATCGAAAGTGGGCCTGCCTGCTCCAGCCAAGCCTTCAATGACAGCACCCACAGAACACTGCTGCCTGCAGCCTAATGAAGGATGCTAAACCAGCACCACCCAGCCTTGATGCTCCCAATTCCTGACCCACAGATGCGGTGAAGATGATCCATGACTTTTGTTGTTTTAAGTCACTCAGTTTAATCAGGGCTGATCTGTTGGACATTAGAAACTATTACAAAAATGGAGGGGAAATGCCTAGAAACACACTCTAGGGAGAAGAGCCTTGGACTTGCCTGTTTTTTAATACAACCCCAACTCTGTGTTAGGAGCAAGAGGGAAGATGGATGGTGGCTAGGGGCCCTTGTTTGGTAGCTTGCAGGATCTGTGAGGGCATGGAGGGTCTTGGAGAGGTGAAGCCAGAGGGGAGAAATGAGCTGGGTGCCAGTGTGTACTGACTAGACGCACAAGCTCACAGGGTAGAAAAGGTAGAGAGGCTGGAGGTGGCAGGCAGCAGGCATTAGTTGCAGCCTAGGTGGTATGCTCCTGGGCCTTGAAGCCCTCCAAACTCCCATTTCCAAAGGAGAAGGATACAGGCCTTACCTGGAGCCTGACCAGGAAGTCCGTGTGCTACTTTGCAATACACAGGCCAGAGAGGTTAGGGGCAAGGCTGAATCTCACACCTAGGCTCAAATCATCCATGGAGCTCTCCTGCCTGTCCCTGCCACAGTCCATGGGCACTGGGCTCTCACCCCATGATCATTTGATATTCACAGCAGCCTCTGCAGAGGTAAACCAAGGCTTAGAACGCCCTCGAGGACATACACCTGGTTCGTGAGTGAGATGAGGGCAGCCCACGTCCTAAGCTGGTACTAGTCTCTAGCGTCCCATGAGCTTTCTGGTTTATGATAAGCAGCCAAAGTTTCTGGTGCTGGCAGGGGCCTCTGGTGTCTGAGTCCTATACAGGAGTCACCTGCTGTCTTAGGCCTGGTTTGCAGCCTGCTCAGGAATGAGCACTAGGGAATGATAATAGGGCCTTGAGGCTGAGAAAAATCCTTAAAGTTGTATGCCAGGAGGCGATCAACCCAGACAGTTGTGTGGGCTTTCTGTAGGAGGGACCTAAAAAATTAATCAAACAGGGAGGTCTCTGGGGCCATAAGGGGAATGAAGAAAGCAGCCAATGCTGACGTCTGGCGCCAGCAGACAGACGAGAAAGCATGTTGATAATTTATTAAAGATTCAGGGGGGTTACTGGAGAAAGGAGCCAGCAAACAGGAAACATAGAGATGGCGTGGGGGTGGGGTGCTAAACTCATCTTCTGAACCAGGAGGAGGGCGAGACATTGGCTGTGTGGGAAATCAATCTCTCTCTCTCTCTCTCTCTCTCTCTCTCTCTCTCTCTCTAAAGCTCACGTACTTAAGCAGGGGGGGGGCGAGACAGTGGCTGTGTGTGAGATCACTCTCTCTCTCTCTCTCTCTCTCTCTCTCTCTCTCTCTCTCTCTCTCTCTTTCTCCTTTTCTGTAGGTCTGTCTGTCTGTCTGTCTGTCTGGGATCCCACCACAGCAGCTTCTGAACCTGTTCCTCCAAGTTGATTTCTTTTTGCTGGCCTGGAACTCACCATGGAGACCAGGCTAGCCTGGATCTCATAGAGTTCTGCCTGCCTCTGCCTCCAGATTACTGGGATTAAAGGTGCATGCCACCATGCCTAGCCCAAGCCAATTTTCGAATACAGTTTCTTGTCATTTTCTTTTTTGAAAGACTCATTGGAGCCTCTTGCTTTCCTCAAATTAAGGTGAGGCTCCACATGCCTCCTGGATCCCCAGCCTCAGGAGAGTTCCTGTCACTGGCTGGTGTGCTCCCAGGGAGGTGTTCTGAGGTGCCAGTCCAGGGCATGGGGAGAAGAAAGCCCCTCTTCCCTCACCCCACTGCCAGTCATTATCTCCTGCCCACCCCCTGCACCAGATTGAATATGAGACTACCTAAGACATCAGAAACATGCTGATGAACATGGCTGTCAGTTATTGCGGTAATATGACTGTCACACAGAGCCTTCCACTTTACTCCATAAGATCATAAAATGCTGTGGCAGCCTGAAAGGGAGAGGATAACTGTCATGGTCACCCTCATTTTGCTAATGAGTGATAAGGGCTCTTAGTGGTCTCATGACTCTGGGACACATGGTCTTCCTCTCTCCACATGCTGGAAGAAAAGACTTGATCATAAATTATAAACATTCAGGCTTTTATTCTCCATCATAAAAACCAGAGGGAGTGATACAGAGGCAGACCAGCCAACTTCACAGTAGGCAGGAGAACATAATTATTATTACTATGATGTTGGTATAAAGGGGAGCCGCTCTGGCTCCTCCAGAGTTAACCATGGCTGGGGCAGGCTGACAGTCTGGAAAGAGGTCCTGGCACCCTGGAGGGAAAACTGTGCATAGCGAAGGAGTGGATCATAAAAATACACCACATGATACAATGGAAATCACATAGGCTGGGGTAGGGGACTCTCAGGTTAAAACTTAGTTGCTTGGAAGCTCAGAAATGATTCCTGCTCTAAGTCTTAGTCTACTGGTTTATGGTGGTAAAAATATCCACCTCATGAAATGTGTTTAAATGACCAGTGATGGAGCCTTACTGCCAGGCACTGTGTGGAGCATCTCAGGTATATAATGTTCACAACAGCCCAAGGAAATGCCTGCTGTTTTCTCTGTTTTCTAGATTCACTACTTGTGTGGTTTGGATAAAAAATGCTCCCTTACATTTGCTCCTGCTTTGAATGCTGGTTTATGCTAGCTAGTGGTGCTGTGTTGGGAGGTAGGGGGCTAGATGGAAGGAGGTCACTGGGGGGATGCCTTTGAAGGGTGTAACAAGCCCCCAATCTGTTCCTCTGACTCTGCTTCCTGTTTTCCATGATAAGTATGCTCCATCATGTCCTTCCCACCATGATGGTCTGAAGAGAGGCTGAGTAACCACTGAAGCT